ACACACACACACACACACACACACACAGACTTCCCCACTCCCTCCTGCCTCACAGCTCTGTCTGATTGCCATTGCTCAAGTCTGCCTTTCTGCGTCTCTATTTCTGTCTTTTCCCCTCTCCATCTCTGCCGCCGACTCTGGGAGTGTGTGTCTCTTCCTCCTCTCCCTGTCTTATTCTCCTGAGGTGTCCCGGGGCACAGGACAGCCAGATGTCTCAGAGTGTAGAAGACGGTGGCCAAGCGTCCAAGGGTCTGGGGCCGCCGTCCTTTCTGGGCCACCGCAGTGCCAGGCAGGGAGTCAGGGAGGCCGGCCCGTCTCTCCCAGCTCCTCTGCTGAGAACTTAGGATCTTGGGAGCTTTGGCTGCAGACCGTGGAAGGCTGATCATCAGCAACTAGGCCTGGGAGCAGGGCTGGGGGTTCAGGTGATGGGGGGGAAGAGGGCCCCTGTCTTTCTGGTGGATCCGATCTCCTCTGAGCTGAGGGGAGGGTGAGGGGACTTGGAGTCCCCTTCAGAAGAGGCGTAGACCTGAGTGGGGCTGAATCGACACTTTTCTTTTTCCTCGAAGCAGCCAAGCCCAGCGCACCCACCCCAGCCCCAGCTTCCTGCTCCAAACCACCACCTCGCTCCCCACCCTGTTCCAGAAATTTCCGCCAACTGCCCCTGGACTGTGGGGCCTGACCAAACAGCCTCCCTGCGCCGCTCCTGGGCGCCCCCACCCAGGCCTCTCCTCGCTGCCACGGCCTCCTGCACAGCAGCGGCTGTGTTGGCTGTTTGTTTGACTAAGGTTTCCTCGGGTGGGGTGAGGACCGGCTCCACCGAAGCTGCTCTCCACCTCGAATGCCCCGGCAGGAGGCCAGGCCCCCTGCCACACCCCCTGTGCCCTCGCTGCCCTCCCCAGGGCCCCCGCAGGGCTCTCCCACATCCCCAGGCCCCAGTCTCCTCCACCCTCCTGACCTCAGGTCTGTCCATCCGCACATCCGACACCAGACACCCCCCTCCTACCGGACAGGCAGGGTAGGGAGGTCTGAGACGAGACACCCCTGAACACCAGCCTTGCCCCCGGCCGAGGGGAGGGGACATGCCCAGGGAGGGCGCTGGGACCTGGCACACTTAGGTTCTCTGGGGGCGTCCCAACGAGGAACACATACATGGGGGTGGTCTTCGAAATGTGGGAGAGGTTTGCCCACCTCTCATTGGACCGAGGCTCGACCCAGCAATAGTGAGACTTGAGCAGAGGGATAATTCCCTAGTGAGTTTGCATCCATCCCAGAAGACCTCCCTGGCCCCCAGGGTCCTTCCATCCCCGGGTTTTGTATGGTGCTGCTCTGTATACAGAGCCGTCCCACCCCACCCTCTGAGCACCTGGAAAGGTAACATGTCCCCATTCACAGAGTCTGACTCTAGCCCAGGTCTCCTTGCTCCCCACAGCTGGGCCTCCTCCTCACACCGAGCTAGCCGCTCCTTGGGCAAAAAGAACCCCAAAAAGAACCACATGGGGTGCAGCCATATCTTGCCTCTCCCTGCATCTCCCCCTCACCATGTCTCCTCCGTCTCCAATGGCCTGCAAGGAGATTCCGTCCCCACGTGTGTTTCTGGCTGGGAAGGGAGTGTGGGAGCAGGCAGTGTTCCGTGACCTCGTTCCGAGGTCTGTTGTCCTAGTTAGCAGTTTCCTGAGGGGAGAGGGACACGAGGAGCTTTTAGAGGTGTTTTCGACCATTTGGGTGCTAACTGGGAATGAGACTGTCCCCAGGTTGAGGCTGGGGACAGCTATTCCCAGGCTGCAGGATGAGATGTGGGGGCAGAGAGGCCAGAGAGGGGATCAGGAAGTTTCCCCAAATAGCCTGGCCAGCAGCCAGCACAGCCCAGGGTGGAGGGGCAGCTCAGCTGGGGGGCAGCTGGCCAGTTGGCGCAAGGGCCCAGACCTTGGGAAGCTGGGCACGGGGCAGAAACGAAGCGGGACTAGTACCGTCTCTCCCCTTCTCCTGCTGAAATGCGCTTCTCCGGAACTTGGCGTCATGAGTAGGGCCGAGACGGAGGGGGAAGAGTGGCGTGTACACCCTGTTCCTTTTCTCTCTCGGGGGGCCTTTGTAAGCCCCAGCCCCTTCTCCTGCCCCTCCCCGCAGTGATACTAATTTACTGATTCATTCAACATATAACACGGAGCACCCTTTCTGTGTTATACCTGCTAGGCCCAGCCCTGGGAATTCACTGAGGAATAGGCAGGGTGAGTAGGAAGGGATGCCAGGAGGCAGGAAGGAAATCTGCCTTAAGGAGGACAGTGAGGGACGGCCTCTCAGGGGGGCTGTATTTCAGCATCAGCCCTGAGGGGGAGAGGGGAGCAGCCCCAAGGACAAGAGGGCTCCAGGCGGAGGGGACAGTCTCCAAGAGCCAGAGAAAGGGCCGAGCGTGGCTGGAATGTCAGGAGCTAGGGAGGGAGGGACACAAACACAGATCAGGGTATTTTGACCTGGATATTTTGACCCCAAGGATGTTTTGAATGCAAACACTTTAAACCAAAACATACCAACACTGGAGATTTTTTTAGAAAGTGTTTTCCAGTTTGAGCGCTATTCCTTTCATTTAATTCCTTGATCAGATGTTCCCATTTTTTTTTCTCTGTGGCACAAGTGAAACAACTTTCCACTTTTTCATTCCATTTTAATTTTACTAGTATTATTTTCACTGACATCAATTCTATATAAAAATTTTTTAAGGTATTTATTTTTTTAGACAGAGGGGAAGAAAGGAAGAGAGGGAGAGAAACATGAGCGTGTGGTTGCCTCTCCAGCGCCCCCTACTGAGGACCTAGCCTACAACCCAGGCATGTGCCCAGACTGGGAATCAAACCAGTGACCCCTTGGTTCACAGGCCAGTGCTCGATCCACTGAGCCAGGACCAATTCTGTATAAATTTTAATGCCAAAATTCACTGATTAATTTGGCGTTTGATCAAACTTTCCTGACCCTGTTCTCTGTCATTGTGCCACTAACTGGGTAAACTCCCCAATTTTATAAAGTTTAAATTAAAAAAAAAAAAGATTTGTGGTCAAGATTGGATTCTTCTGTCCATGGCAGTCAACAACAAATCTTGTATCCAGTTCCAAGCATCTGCTACCTCGACTACCCGGTTCTAACCTGTGTGCTTGGGTGAAGAGTTGTATTTACACCTCAGTTACTCTGTGGGAGGGACCTCGGTGAAGGGGCAGCTGGGGAGAAAAGAAGGCTGGGGTGGAGGAGAAGCCTTTTGAGCACCTATTGTGGGTTATACTTGTGGTTTCCGGGTTTTCAGCAGAACGGTGACACAATCAGATTTGCCTTTTTACAAGGCTCCTCTGCCCTGATTGGTGTGGCTCAGTGGGTTGGGCGCCAGCCTGTGAATTGAAGGGTTGCAGGTTCAATTCCCTGTCAGGACACGTGCCCGGGTTACGAGCCACATCCCCGGTGGGGGGTGTGGGGGTGTGGGAGGCAACTGATAGATGTGTCTCTCACACACTGATGTTTCTCTCCCTCTCTTTCTCCCTCCCTTCCCCTTTCTCTAAACAATAAATATTCCTCTGGTCATATGAAGAACAGCCTGGCCAGGGAGGGCAGTCAGGAGGTTGTTACGTTATGTCAATCCAGCTGGTAAAGAGAAGTGAAAGGATTGAAGAAAGACTAGGAAGGTAGAAAGGGCAGTGTGATTTCTGTCCCTCTCCCCCGGACCCCAGCACCGCCCTCCCCACGGGCCCAGAGTGACCTCAATGTCATTCCCCACACCCTCAGCGCCTGCCCCCCCTCCTCAGAGTCTGGCCCCTGGAGTTTGCACAGGGCGGAGACCAGCTAGAACTGGGGTGTTTTCCTTGGGGCTCCCTCCGAGTCTCTCTCCTGACTGAATGCCGCTAAGGGTCAGGGTCAGGGTCAGGGATGCCCTGCTGAAGTTTGGTTGGGGGTGGTCCTTGGCCGGAGCAGCCAGGGCGGCTGCAGAGCTGGCAGTGAAACAGACTCAGACACAGGGCACTTGTGCGGCCCCTGGCTCCAAGCTCAGGGTGTGACCCTGGGCAGGGGGACAAAGAGGCCTCTGTCAATCCACGCAGGGCACAGAGCCCACCTGGGCCAGTCCCGGTGCCAGAGGAGCCAGGGAGTTGGGCCTGGGGGCACTTGGAGAGAGAAGGCTTGAAGGGACACAGACCTGAGGCTGGGAGTCAGCTGGGGCAAGTCACTTCCTCAGGCTCGTCACCTGTCAGTGGAACCTTAATCCCAGCCTCCCAGACCCAGTGCATCCTGGTGCCTCGCCTTCCTAGAATCATGAATTTTAAAACATTATCTAACAAACACAGTTATTACCTTGTGCCTGTTTGTGAAACAGTTTACGATTATTGGTTCATTTCACCCCTGTAACGACCCTGTAAGATACTCTAAGATGAGGTACTCTTTATCCTTAGTTTACAGGTGGGGAAACTGAGGCATGAAAGTGGCCAAGGGTAGGATTTGAACCCAGACAGTATGGGTACGCTATGGTGCTGCAGTGGGAGGGAGAGAAGTCAGGCTCCGGGAGAGGAGTTCAGGGCCCAGAGACCCAGGGCAGGACAGGGGCTGCAGCAGGGACCCCAAGGAGCTGGCGTCTTCGGAGCAGCAGCAGCTGTGTCCAGGGGAAGCTGGGGCAGATTTCGTGTTCCTTCCACACTAAGAGTCATATACCCTGTGGGGCGCCAGGCTTTGTGCCACATACCTGACCCCTGGGAGCCTGGGTTTGGCCAGTCTTGACCCATGGACATGGGACAGAATGGCAGGGGCACTCAGCCCAGGGGCTGAGGGTAGTGGGGGGAGCGTCCGCGCTCACAGCGGTGGGGACCTTCGGACTTCAGGATACTGGACTGGCTGAGAAAGGAGGCGGGGCCTCCCACCGAGCGGGAGGAGGTGGAACAGTGCGCACTGAAGCCGCAGGTGGTCCTGGTGGGCGTGGCCAGAATCCGCCGCGGAGTCTGAGCTGGGATATGCTCTGCCACAGGCGTCTCTAGACCCTCTTCACAATGTCCGGGGCACTTGTTAAAAAGGCAAGCGCTGGGCCACACCCCTCCACTGAACCCTAACCCCTGGGGTCCGGGCCCAGCCCAGGAGGCCTGACAGGCTCCGCAGGTGATGCTCTCTGGGCCAGGCACTCAGGAGTCCGGCGGCACCAAGAAAATCTCACTCTTGGCACATCAGAATCACCTGTGCAGAGTTAACAATCCCCAGCGACCTGGCCACGCCCCAGACTAACCCTGTCGGAATCCCTAAGGAGGGGCTCAGGCACCAGAAGTTTTCCGAGTTGCCCCGGCGATTCCCGAGAGCTGCTGTGGTTGAGCACCCGCAGGTAGGCCTGTCCTTCGGGTCAGCCAGGTCTGAGCTGAACTGTCTGCTTCCCAGAGAGGCCTCCTTTGGCTACCCGTCCTCCTTGACCTTGTGTGTGTGTTTGTCTGCTCGTTAGTGAGCCTGTCTCCCCTGGATTGCAGGCTCCGTGGGGGCCCCTGGGGGCCTGTGTTCACCGCTGGATCCCCTGGCATAGAATGGAGGCCCTGGCACAGAGTAGGTGTTCAACAAACGGTTATTCAGTGAGTTCACCGAGCCCCTACTGTGTGCCAGCCACAAAGGGAGACTCTCTCCCTATAGTGTCTCAATGCTTCTAACAACTCTATGCAGTGGATACCATCGGGCCTGTTTTAGGATCGGAGAGGAGGAGCAGCTGGCTCAAGGTCTGCCGGCTCCAGAGTCTGTCCTGGGCCCGAGTGGCTTCCCCGCCAAGGCCCCAGAGCCGGTGCTGCTGTGAGAAGCAGCCCCACAGCCTGGAGGCGGGCCAGAGCGCCCGAGAGAGGCATGGGCCACATTGAAACAGCCTGTCTTTGGGGCCTTCCTTGGAACCTCTTGGTTGGTTTTGAAAGGCGTCCTTCATGGCTTGCAAGGGCCGTGTGCTTCTGCCCGCTGGACCTGTTTGAGGGGAGGACTCCTTGATGTGGTCAGCAGCTGCTCCTTGGCCAGAGGGACCGTGGCCACCCCACCGTCTTCCTCAGCCATGAGGTGTGGAGGCTGTCCCCTCCCTCTGGCCCCAGGGGCCCCTGGATACTCAGGGTCACCCTCAGTCTCCCCTGTCTCCGTCCTTCTAGGGTTAGGATGGAGCAGGTTCCATTTCTCACGGAACCTGAGGAAGGGGAAAGGACCCAAAGGTCTGGTGGGGAGGCGGGGGTGGGAGGGTTCTGCTGGACCCACTAACTAAATAAAAGCATCAGGAAATGAAGGGTGGGTCAGGGAGGCTCTTAATTTGCACAGGGTTGATCCTGGCTGGTAGTCAGGGCCTCTCCCAGCCTCTTCTCAATGCAGCTCTTTAAGTAAAAGGGAAGGTGGCCAAGGTCCCAGTGAGGACCCCTGGGCCGTCAACCTTTCCCGTGCCTTCCATGCAACAGTATTGGGAAGTCCCCCCAGTGAGCTACCTTCTAGACTGCTGTTATTGCAGCTAATCTCCCATAGAGGGGCCCCCCTTGCTGTGGGTATCCCGGTTCCTGGCCTTGTGTTCTCTAGCTCCAGTCTCTTCTACACAACCCAGGCAGTTCTGCCAAGCTGGGTGAGGAGGTTGAAATAATTTCTGTTGCATGGGCAACAGACACAAACCGAATGCAACCCTGAGCCGGGAAAGTTGGGGATGGGCTGGCAGCATTGAGGCGAGGTGGTGGGCAGGAGGGGAGGCGTTTAGTCAGGTCATGGGGCGGACACCCTGAATTGGGACAGAGGATCATTAATAAGGTTTCTGGGGTTCCATCCAGGCCCATTTTCTCCCCCCTCATTAGTTTCTAATGCAGAGCTGAGAGGAAGTCCTTTCTGCAGTCTGACCACTGTCCCATATGCTGTTACTAAGAATGCCATACCTCACGTCATGATGGCTCTTGATAGCTCTACAGGGTGTTTCCTATGTATATTATCTTTCTAAAAAGATTTTATTTATTTATTTTTGGAGAGAGGGGAAGGGAGGGACAAAGAGAGAAACATCAGTGTGTGGTTGCCTCTCACATGGCCCCCTACTGGGGACCTGGCCTGCAACCCAGGCATGTGCCCTGACTGGGAATCGAACTGGCGACCCTTTGGTTCACAGCCCGAGCTCAATCCACTGAGCTACACCAGCCAGGGTGTATATTATTCTCATTTAATCTTCTCAGCTGTCAGCCTGGGGTCAGGGGAATTATGATTGGTTATTAGTATTGTTACCCCCGTCTCACTGGTGGAGAAAAGGGGCGTGTTCTGAGTCACAGGTAAGTGGCAGAGTTGCAGCAGACACTCGTGGTTGCCGAGCCCACATTGCCCTGGAGGCCCCCCTTTCCTCCCACAGATGCCCTCTTCCTGGCTCCCTCCCCTCCTGCCTCCCACAACCCAGAGGCAGCCTGGCCCCGGGAGGTCCTCCGGTCCAGCCCCCTGCCTCTAGCCCCGCACAGTGGAGCCTGCGCATGGTGGTGGCCGTGGCTGGCACCTGGAGCTCATCTGGCCAAGGCCCAGGAGAGGGTGACGATGGCAAAGTCGGGGGGGTCAAGGGTGTCAAGGGTGTCAGCTGCCGCTGTTTCTTTTTGGGCAAAGACTTTTAAAGTTTAATGTGATAATCTCATGCTGATTACTGCACACCGAGGACCTCGGGCCCATCCAAGAATCCATTACCAGCCCCACAGGAAGAGACAGTGGAGACTGCCGGCCCTCCCAGCATCGCAGCCCTGCTCCTTGCAAAAGGGCTGAGCCTGGGTTTGTGTTTGTTCTTTGTTTTGTTCCATTTTTAGTGGAAAAATGGTGTTTCTAGATCATGGCAGAGACAATAAAGCAGGGTCCCCCTACTTCCAGACCTGGACCAGGAGCCCCGAAACTTCCCTTTTACACCTGAGCAGTTCTTGTTCTAGAAAGGGGCCACTGGGCAGTCTGGGCGTGAGGCCCCTCTAGGGCCTAGAAAGTCGGCCGGGGCAGGGGCGCAGGAAGTCACCACGCCCCCCACCCCATGTTCCTAGCTGGGAAGCCCAGCCGCCGCTGCTGTCTCCACATCATGCCCGCTCAGAGTGAGCCAATTAGCACCGTGTCTGCTTCTGTGTTCCGAGTGCCTGTCTCATTATTTGGGGATTTATGTCTCGGTCACTGTGAAGGACAACTGTCACGGTTTCCACTGGGAGGAGCCTGGCCAGCCCGGGAGTCCAGGCAGCAGGAGGTGGTGCCACCCTGCTTAGGACAGGATGGGGATTTAATTTCAGGGGGATTTGCAATGGATGGGGCGCCGCCCTGGGCACATGGTGGCTCTGGGCTATTTTAGGAGGCAAAAGGCTGGGGGGTAGGGAGCACCGTGGACTTTTCAAGCCATAGGTGATTCTGCCCTTTCAGTGGGAACGGAAAGGACTCAAGATGGACGGGGCAGGCCAACCCAACACCGGGGCTTCTCCCACCTGCCTGGACCCCAGCAGTCCAGACTTACGACACCATCCCACCCTTGTCCAGGCAACCAGAGGAGCAGAAGCTGCTGGCCAGTCAGGGGTCTGTGGCTTCTTGCCTGAGCTCCCTGGCTACAAGGCTTTGCCCCAGCTTAGCCCTTGGTATTATTAGTATGAACAATTAGTATAACCATCTCATATCTTTGCAGTCAAAATTGCACTCAGGAGAGGCGCCATGGGGCAGGGAAAAGGGCACGGCCCTAAGCCAGGCACACTCAGGTTCTTGTTCCCTGTGGGCCACTTCCAAGCTGGTAATGCAGATTTCGATGTCCCTCCACTTCTCTGAGCTTCAGTGGCCATCTTCAAAGCAGGGACAGTAGCACCTCATTAATGATGCCCATTTATTCATTGGGAACATTCTGTCGGGGATAATCTCCCATCTCCGTCAGTCAGTGATGTTGTTTTGTACTAATTGCCCAGTTTTACAGATGAAGAAGCTGAAGCTCAGAGAGGGACAGTAACTTTCCTAAGCCCACACAGCCCATTCCATTGCTCACGCCCACACCCCACTCCTCAAACCCAGCAGGATGTATCATTCATTTTCAGTGTGCCAGGCTGGAGATTCACTGCAGACAAAGTGGGGGAAGAGGTGATAACGGGATGAGACTCGGCAGCAGTGAGAACTGAGTGGTCCAACTAGAGACTCAGTGGCTTTATTTAGACTCAGGATCATTTTCTGGCCTGGGGAAGGCAATAACCAGGGGCCTGAGCCCCTCCTTGAACAAGGGGGCGCCAGCACTACCTAGCACCTCCAGCTCTCGTTACTAAGAAGAGGTTTTTTTTGTTGTTGTTTTCTTCCTCCTTATCTCACCTTTATACCAAAAAAAAAAAAAATCACAGGGCTTAAGGGCACGTTGGAATAAGGCCTTTAGAGCCACTATGATGTAGAAGAAAGAGAGACTAGAGTTTGGAGTCAACCAAACAGGACTTGCCTCCACCCCTTTCTGGCTGTGTGTCCTTGGGCAAGTAAGATGACCTCTCTGAGCCTCCCTTTCCTTATCTTCCAAGTGAGGAGAGGAACATGGCTTTTCAGGGCTATTAGGAGGATAAAAGGGATCAAGAAAGTATGGGGAGAGCCTGGAATGGCCCCACAACTAAGGGCAGGGCTTTGTCTGTGTGGGGCTGGGTGCAGGAGAGTGTCTCTGCGAGGCACAAGCTGGCACCTGTGGTCCCGCTGAGTGATTCTGACGGGCTGGGCGGGCCGGACAGCCAGCAAGCCTGGCCCTAAGGCCTGGTGCTCAGAGTTCAAGAAATCGCTCTATTGGAAGAAATCAATCAGTCAATCTGTCACTCTGTTGGCAGCTTGATGGGGACGATGAACTCGTCAGCATATTACGTGAGAATAGTGCTGGGGGTGTGGTGGACCCCCAGCTCCACGCAGAGCTGACTCGGTGGTGGGAAAAGCTAAGGCACGGGCGGCATTAACAGGGGAGTGTTGAGGAGGGACGGAGGGGAGTCTTTCCCTTTTTCTGTTCTAAGGAGGACATTGAAAGCTTAAACAAGTTTTGAGAGATATGATTGGAATAATAAAACACCTAGAAACCATTTAGTCAACACATTTTCATTAAGTTGCTTAATACAGGTCACTTGGTCACCATGCAAGGTCCTGGGCAGAAGGGAACAAGTAGAGGCCTAGAGTTGACCCACTCGTGCAGTGGGGTGCCCAGGGCGGGGCTGGGAAGAGACAGTTCAATATATTGTCTTAAGTGCAGTGTTAGGGACCCATCCAAGGCTCCCTGGGAGCGCGCGGGAGGGGCTTCCTCCTGGGGAAGGGGAAGAGCAGCTGAGGGAACGGGTCTCTGTAGCTGGGAGAGGAGACCTCTGAGAAAGAAGCTACAGGCGTTTTTAGCTGGCTGTGCAAAGCGGAGCG